CACCCACTGCCTCCATGGCCTGCCGCAGATTGCCCAGGTGGCCCAGCAGTACCATGGTGGCCATGCCCTCCACCCGAGCCCTGTAGCATCATCTGCATATGACGGGGCACAAGGCCGGAGTCTTGTCCCTGCTGCATGGATGCCATGTCCTTAACTGTGCTGCTCTACGCCGGCTGTGCTCAGGGGCGACTCTCCTCTGGGGGGGCTGCTGGTGAGGAAGGGGTCATGGGAGGAGATAGGGCTGGGGCAACAGCTTGAGTGCCCACAGAGAGGGCTCTGAGTGCTGCCTCTGGCACTCATGCCATAGGTTCGCCACCACTGCCCTACTCCATAATCCAAGCACTAATATACAGGAATTATATTAATATAATATAATATCAACACTGCAACGATCCATGACAATAATTCTAAGGAAGAAGCACAGTGTTGTTAAAAAAAGGAGAGACAAAAAAAGACATGATATGAATGGCATTTTCAGAAAAGTTGGATATGTAGGTTAATAAGGCTGTGTTTATTCTTCAAAAATGATTGCTGGAAATATTGCCCAACTAATATATTCAAGGCCAGTTAGGGTTTCCTGGCATTTAAAATGAAACTGATCCTGGTAGAACAGATAAAAAATAGCAAGGACAGATAAAAACGTTAGACCTGATAAGAGTTGGTTTATTTATTTATCTAGGATATTTACATAGTCAAAAATGTGACTCTGGGCATTGTTAAATTATTAAGCATAACAATTAAAACTACATAGCGATCTAAAAAGAATCAAACATAAAAAATATAAAACCCAAGGTTGGGTTAGGCTTCAGCTATATCTTTTTTATGCTTCATTCTGGCTCTCCCCTCCTCTGTTTCTCTGATGAGTGAGGATGGAAACTACACCAAAAAGTGATTTGATTATATACAGACCTTGCTTTGCAATGATGGCAGTTCATGAAAGAATATGTTCTAATTGCTTATGGATAAGTCCTCACAAGTATCAGGCATATAGCCCCAGGAAACATCCACACCTAGAATTTCAGCCTTCTGTGAGGCCTATATCTTTTAGGGCCAATCTCAGTGGATGCTTAAAAAGTTGGAATAGGAGAATTCTTTGCTATCAGTTGAAAGGCGGGCCTAACAGATTCTATAAATGCCTTTACTCTTTCACTCCAAACTTGGAAAACTATCTATCTATCTATCTATCTATCTATCTATCTATCTATCTATCTATCTATCTATCTATCTATCTATCTATCTATCTTCTATTATCTATCTCTGTCTATCTAAGAATAGAATAGAATAGAATAGAATAGAATAGAATAGAATAGAATAGAATAGAATAGAATAGAAAGGGACCTTGGAGGTGGTCTAGTCCAACCCCCTGCTCAAGCAGCAGAACCTATTTCAGATAAATGGTTGTCCAATCTCTTCTTAAAAACTTCCAGTGTTGGAGCATTCACAACTTCTGGAGGCAAGTTGTTCCACTGGTTAATTGTTCTAGCTGTCGGGAAGTTTCTCCTTAGTTCTAGGTTGCTTCTCTCATTGATTAGTTTCCATCCATTGCCTCTTGTCCTGCCTTCAGGTGCTTTGGAGAATAGGTTTACTCCCTGTTCTTTGGGGCAGCCCCTGAGATATTGGAACACTGCTATCATGTCAACACTAATCCTTCTTTTCATTAAACTAGATATACCCAATTCCAGCAACCGTTCTTAGTGTGTTTTAGCCTCCAGTCCCCTGATCACTTTTGTTGCTCATCTATCTGTCTGTGTCTGTCTATCATTTATCATCTATCATCTATCATCTCTGTCTGTCTATCTATCTATCTATCTATCTATCTATCTATCTATCTATCTATCTATCTATCTATCTATCTTTCTTTCTATCTGTCTATCTATATAACTGGTTCTCTGTGTGGATGCCGCTTCTGAAAGTCCATTCTGGGCCTGGGCAACAAAAAATTAGCTACTGGTTCTGCTGAAGTGGTACAAACCGGCTGAATCCCACCACTGTATCTATCTATCTATCTATCTATCTATCTATCTATCTATCTATCTATCTATCTATCTATCTATCTATCTGTCATCCATCATCTATTATGTATCTATCATCTATCTCTGTCTATCCTAATCTAATCTAATCTAATCCAATCCAATCTAATCTAATCTAATCTAATTTATATAGCTGCCCATCTCACAAGCAAGTGACTCAGCAAACAAACAACACTAGAAATGCACAGCTGCTCAGAAGCCTTGCAAGCCTATTGTTGTTTGTTAATGATCCTGGATAGATATTCTTTCAATGCATTTGGGAAAATAATACTTTGTAGCAGATACAAAAACAGAAAACTTGCACAGGTAGTCCTTAACTTTTAACCATTCATTTAATGATCATTTGAAGTTACAACAGCACTGAAAAAAGTGACTTATGACTGTTTTTCATACTTACAACCATTGAAGCATTCCTATGGTCACGTGATCAAAATTCAGGTGCTTGGCAACTGGCTTGTATTTATAATGCTTGTATTTATAACGCTTGTATTTATAACAGTTGTAGTGTCCTGGGATCATATGATCACCCTTTGTAACCTTCCCAGAGCTTTCCGACAAGCAAAATTAATGGGGGAAACCAAATTCGCTTAATGACCACATGATTCACTTAGCAACTGTAGTGATTTGCTTAACAACTGGGGCAAAAACAGTTGTTGCCTGACTCACTTAACAACTGTCTTGTTTAGCAACAGAAACTTTGGGCACAGTTGTGGTTGAGGACTACTTGTACCTGGGGAACAGTTTCCTGTGGTCAGGAAGAGAAAACAATAAATTTCCAGTACGTGGAGAACATTAAAATCAATAGTTTTGGCAAATCTCTAGCTATGAAAGAGAATAAATACTCAGAATATTTTTGTTCTGCATTTAGTCTCTGGACCCAGAGAAAAGGAAGTTGTTGTTGGTGTTTCAAGAAAGTCAAAAGACAGAATAACAGGAACAGAAATCCAGAAATAAAATTGTCCCTCCAAACAGTGGTAGGAACTGTATTATATCAGGCCAGTTTGATGAAGTTAAGGCACCAGGCTGGAAACTGGGAGACTGTGAGTTCTAGTCCAGCCTTAGGCATGAAGCCAGATGGGTGGCCTTGTGCCAATCCTTTCCTCTCTTCTTTAAAAGAAAGGCAAAGGCAAATTATCTTGACAGACTTGAATATTAGGCGCTATCTAACAAAATGAAATTCAGTGGTGAAAAACGTAAGGTTCTACATTTAGGCAAGAAAAACCAAATGCATAGGTGCAGTATAGATGGTATCCCACTCAGTAGTAGCAACTGTGAGAGGGATCTTGGAGTCCTAGTGGACAATCATTTAAATATGAGCCAACAGTGTGTTGCAAAGGCCAACACAGTGTTGGGCTGCATTAACAGAGGGATAGAATCAAGATCACATGAAGTATTAATGCCACTTTACAATGCCTTGGTAAGGCCACACTTGGAATACTGCATCCAATTTTGGTCACCACGATATAAAAAAGATGCTGAGACTCTAGAAAGAGTACAGAGAACAAAGATGATTAGGGGATTAGAGGCTAAAACATATAAGGAACGGTTGCTGGAATTGGGTATGTCTAGTTTAATGAGGAGAAGGTCTAGGGGTGACATGATAGCCATGTTCCAATATCTCAGGGGCTGCCACAAAGAAGAGAGAGTCAAGCTATTCTCCAAGGTGCCTGAAGGCAGGACAAGAAGCAACAGATGGAAATTAATCAAGGAGAGAAGCAACCTAGAACTAAGGAGAAATTTCTGGACATAGAACAATTAATCCAACATTATTATTGTTGTTGTTGTTATTGTTGTTGTTGCTGCTGTTGTTGTTATTATTTCATTGCCAAAAATCCTTGACAAGAAAAATGCAAGGACTTGTTCATGTACTCACCAGCAATCCACACCAACTCAAAGGGAAAAAATGCTTCAAACATTACCTAGGAATAAAGTGGTCAACCTTCCCAAGAGCTTCTGTAACACTATCTTAGATTCCAGCTTGAAATAGGACACTGAGGAGAACAGAATGAATTTATCCCTCAACCATAGGAAAAAAAGCATGATAATAAAGTTGACAGCTTCATAGAGTCATAGGGCTGGAAGATACCCTAGATGTCTTCCTTCTGCTCAGAAACAGGTCTGCTAATAATACCAATAGCATTTAGACTTATATACTGCTTCACAGTGCTTTACAACCCTCTCTAAGCAGTTTACAGAGTCAATATATTGCCCCCCAACAATTTGGGCCTTGATTTTACTGACCTCGGAAGGATGAAAAGCTGAGTCAGCCTTGAGCTGGTCAAGATCAAACTCCAGACTGCGGGCAGAGTTTGTTTGCAATCGAAATCTCTCTCTTCCTCTCCTGTAGATGGCGTTTGTCATGTTTGCCCCAAAAGAGTAGCTGGTGCAAAAGGAGCTAGATTTAAATTGGAGCATGCTGGTATTTTGGATTTTATTTCGGCCATCTTAAAGCAATACAGTAGTTGTTTGAAAAGAATCCAATTCTAAATAATGATCCTACATGGACATTTGTCTTCTGCATGTGGATATTTGACACAGACATACTGGAAAACACTGAAATTTTTAAGAAGAGATTGGACAACCCTTTGTTTGAAATGGTATAGGGTTTCCTGCCTGAGCAGGAGGTTGGACTAGAAGACCTCCAAGGTCCCTTCCAATGACTTTATTCTAACCACTGCACCACCAGGGCTCGTTATTTATATAAATAAATAAAAATAAGTTGTTTTTATTTATTCAATATCTCATTTCATTTTATTCCTACAAAAACCATCTGATGTGGTAGATTGGGCTGACAAAGACCCAGTAGGTTTCATAGTTGAGAGGTGCTTAAACATGCATCTGTGAAGTTCTAGTCCAACATATACAGCATTGGCTCATTTGCAGAAACAATCTGGAAGTACTTGGTTTTATTAAAATAGGAAATCTGTGCCTTCCATTTTACCTTAATTCCTGGCAACAAGCTAAACCCATTCCTGCAGATTTTTTGGGCAGCCTCTTCAGAAGTGGCTTTCTATTTCCTTCTTCCTAGGGCTGAGAGAGAACAACTGGCTTAAAGTCAACTAGCTGGCTTTGTGCCGAGGGTGGCACTAGGAGAAGAAGCCTGTTCTTATTTTGCAGGTGTTTTGAGACAGACAGTCAAATGAAACCTTTGCTGCATTTTCCCATCAGCAGAAAACATCCTTCTGCCGCGGTTATTCATTGACTAACTTCTCGTTCAGCCCACTTCTTCCCTCAGTGCGCTGGACTGCCAAACTGCACTGCGTCAGAAAAATAATCACAGAGCGCTTCTTAAGCAGAAGAATTTAAACAGCCTGCTCATAAAAAAGATAGAGAAGACAAGCCAAATAGCTGGGCTGCATATCACTGAAAGAGGAGAACAAAGCATCAGCAAGGCTGGCTGATTCAACCAAGGGGAGCCCCCCAGTGAGTCAGACAACTCAGCAAAATTATTCAAGAGGACTCTGACCAAACACAGAATTAAGACTGTGCTGTATTTGAAGGAGGGCAGTAAGAGAAGAACAGATAGACAAGATGAGCAAACCCCAATACAAGAAGATGGAAGAAGATGTACCCGAAGTCCAGAATCCACCCCCCTATGTGGAAAATCAACCAGCGCCTTCTGGTTTCCTGGCCCCCCCCCAGTATCAACCTCCTTCTGATCCAAGATACAACCAAGGTCTGGTTATTCAACCAACGCAGACCATGAACTTCGTACGTCTCCAACCCACCAAGGAGCCTGATTACATGGCCTACTCTATCTTCACCATGCTTTGCTGTTGCCTACCTCTGGGAATTGCTGCCCTGATTTATTCCATACAGGTAAGCCTGTGAGCATGAACAAGAGAATGCTGTAAGAGGGAGGGGAGACAGGAATACAATGTTGTAAAGAGAGTTGGGCTGGGACTCAGAAATCTCATAGACAGGATAATAATAATAATAATAATAATAATAATAATAATAATAATAATAATATGAAAAATTGATTGTAAAAAGTGGAATAATCTGATAAGAATGTATATACTGGAATGTCATGTTTAATCCAATGTTTGTTTGTTTTTAACTATATTATAAATAAAATAATAATAATAATAATAATAATAATAATAATAATAATAAATGAGAAAGAACTGGAGAAGATAACAAAATACAAAGACCTACAAATAGAAATAGAAAGACTGTGACAACAGCAAGCAAGGGTAGTACCAATAGTCATAGGCTCCTTGGGTGCAATCCCAAAACAACTGGAGCACCACTTGAACACCATTGGCATTGACAAATTTGCCATTAGTCAATTACAAAAGGCAGCCTTATTAGGAACTGCTTCCATCCTGCGACGATATCTGTAATACCATCAAACATCCACATCTGCCTATCCCAGATCCTGGGTAAGGACTCGATAGGTAGACAAAATGCCAAATCCAGTCTGAACATCTGGCTGACTGTGCGATGATTGAGAATAATAATAATAATAATAATAATATGATGATGATGATGATAATAATGATGATGATGATGATGATGATGATGGGAGGGACATTGGAGATCATCTAGTCCAACCCCTGCTCAGGCAGGAAACCCTATACCATTTCAGACAAATGGCTGTCCAATCTCTTCTTAAAGACTTTATTTCTTTAATAAGATGTTTTCACCATGTGTCACTGTCCTCGTGGAAGGAACTAATGAATTACAAATTGCAAACATATTCATATGAGAGCTATTCCAACTGATGCTCCAAATTGAAGAGATTTATATGCTTAACTGTTAAAAATCTGGGTACTGAGTAAGTTTCCGATTCTGAATTAAGATCACCATTCTTTGTTTCTCACTTATAGCATCTTGTCTCTAACAGCTGCTCAACCAGCTCACTGCAAAATGTTTATGTAGGCACTACTCCAAAATGTTTGGAACATTATGTCTTCTCTTACCGCAACAACCAGCTCCTTTTGCAGAGCAATGGAAAACAGGTATATATACAGGTAGTCCTCCATTTACGACCACAACATTTATGTCGAGAAATTTGTTAAGTGAGTTTTGCCCCGTTTTACAACTTTTCTTGTCACATTTGTTACACAGTTGTAAAGTGAATCTAGTTTCCTCATTGACTTTGCTTGTGAGAAGGTGGAAAAGAGAGATCACGTGATTCCAGGACACGGTAACCGTCATAAATGTGAGTCACTTGTCAAGCATCCAAATATAAATCACGTGACTCTGGGGAAGCTGCGAGGGTCATCAGTGTGAAAAAAGATCATGTCACATTTTTTTCAGTGCCGTTGCAACTCTGAACGGTTACTAAGTGAGCTGTTGTAAGTTGAGGACTACATGCATATGTATATACACACACATACAGTATACAAGATCAGAACAAGCACTAAGCACCGGCAGGGATCTTTCACACCAGATCACTACGTCAGCCCTGAGACCCCTGTAAAAGAAATTTATCTGTAAAATTTTATCTGTAAAAAAGACATCTGCGGACATTTACGGTAGATTTTGGAACATGCTAGATGAACTTAGGGAATTAGTCAGAGGATGATGTAAAATTCGGTAAGGCAAATGTGGGTCAAATCATACAGGTAATCCTCAAGCTAGAAATATTTATTTACCAACCATTCAAAGTTATGATGGGGCTGAAAAAAGTGATTTATATAACCAGTCCTTAGGCTTACAACCATCACAGTTTCCCCACCTTCACATGGGGGAAATTCCAGGCCTGGCAACTGGTATATATTTATAAAAGCTGCACTATTTGCCAAAGCACCTGAAGGCAGGACAAGAAGCAACGGATGGAAACTAACCAGGGAGAGAAGCAACCTAGAACTAAGGAGAAACTTCCTGACAGTTAGAACAATTAACCAGTGGAACAACCTGCCTCCAGAAGCTGTGAATGCTCCAACACTGGAAGTTTTTAAGAAGAGACTGGACAGCCCTTTGTCTGAAATGGTATAGGGTTTCCTGCCTGAGCAGGGGGTTGGACTAGATGACCTCCAAGATCCCTTCCAACTTTATTATTATTATTGTTGTTGTTGTTGTTGTTGTTATCCCAAGGTCAGGCGATCACCATTTGTGACCATCCTAGCCAGCTTCTGACAGTCAAAACGACAGGGGTAGCTGGATTCATTTAACAACCCTCTGATTCACTTAATGAGTACAATTAAAAGGTTGTAAAAACAGGTGCAATTCACTTAACAACCACATCACTTTAGCAATGGAAGTTCCAGTCCCAACTGTGGTCATAAGTTAAGGACCACCCGTACCTATCAATCATGCTATTCCCTTTCAGGGTAATCAAAATTATACAGAGTGTTGAAAAGGGGTAAGAAATAAGTAAGTTGAAAAAAATAAAGGCAGGATGTGAAAAAAAGGAAATATAGTAAATTTTAGTTGATTCCAGTACCCCTTCATTATAATTCTTCACATTTTTATAACTTTTCAAATTATCTCTGCTTCTATCACCTCCATCTCTATCTGATACACTGATTTTTTTTTCTTTCTCTCTATCTTTCTCAATCTTCTGTTTTCTCTTAGTCCCTTTATTCTTATCTTCCTTCTCATATTTGTTCTGCAGTATGATCTTTATTCTTTCTTTCTATAGCAATGTTTGTCAACTTTGCCAACTTTAAAATGTAAGACTCCCAGAATTCCCCTGTCATTCCCTGTGCTGGCTGGAGAATTCAGGGAATTGAAATTCATATAACTTAACATTGCCAAGGTTGAGAATCACTGCTCTGTAGGATGAAGCACCTCAACATATTTATTCCTCTTACTTTCCAAATTGTAATCTTCTCCATGCTGGAAAAAAAGAAAAAAAAATTAAAAGACATTTGCAAAGTCCTGCTGGACAGTAAAAATTTGGTTCTGTAGAAAAATGCCAAATTCAAACTTTCCAAGCCAATAAAACTGTAATTAAAGAATTGTCCTTCAATATTGGCATGGAGAAGGGATGCACAGGCACCGACATCCATATTTTTGTGGGGATTTTTTAAAGAAGTTGATAACTCATACAAAAACAGGATGAAATAAAAATAGGAAATAAAAAGCAGGAAGAAAACATACCTATATATATATATTAAAAATGGTGATTTGGAAGGCCAGAGTGTGAACAATGATGTGGCTATACTGAAAGGTGGAAATTAAAACTTCTGGATTTAATTAAGGGCTTCCCCTCCCCCCAGGCACAAAAAGATCAAGAACTAATGTGACATGTAGGGAAAGGAACTGCAAAGATCACGTCACTGTTGATCAAAAATCAAAGCTACATGGCTAACTGCAAATTCTTCTCCACTGCTGAGTTTAATTGTTCTCAACTCTTCCAGGAGTCAGTAGAAAACTATAGCAGCATGAAGTTGGCTGTTCCCAATTCTTATCCTACATTTGTTCAGGCTGATCTTAGATTGTGTTGGAATAAGGGAGAAATTACTGTTTTAACACAGGGACATAATAACTAGCATGAGAGGCAATTTGGTGTAGTGGTTAAGACACAAGGCTAGAAACCAGTTCTAGTCCCATCTTAAGCATAAAAGCTGGCTGGGTGACTTTTGGGCCAGGCACGCTGTCTCAGCCCAATCCACCTCACAGGGTTGCTGTTGAGGGGGAAAATAGGATGAGGAAGAAGTATTAGATATGTTCACCACCTTATTTATAAAAATAAAAACTTCCTTTAAAAATGACTCAAGTCTATCTCAGTCATCTACGGAGATTCTCAGTCACCCAGAATCATAGTTGTCCCAAAGATGCTTTTTCAAAAGGCAATTGGACTTTGTTTTTCCTTGAAGACATTTCGCTTCTCAGCCAAGAAGCTTCTTCAGTTCTGACTGGAGAACTTTGAGTGTACATGATATGAAGACATGGAACGTCTTCAAGGAAAAACCAACGTCCAGTTGCTTCTGTCTCAGCCATGAGTTGGGGAATAGCTAATATCATGAGGGAATGACAGTGAAAAGAAGATACTGGGGTATGTTTGTATTATGAGAAAATTCAGGTGGAGAAAGACAGAATGCAGGGAGTTAATTCTTAAGCAATTTCTGCAGAAAAAAAACCCACTATGCTAATCTACTTCAGCGAAAATAAAAGTGTACTGTTCAGTGAGGATATGCTAATGTTGAACTTTGAAGCTATTTCGTCGGAATCTGGCTGCTATAGCATCATTTACTGGAAGTAGGAGAACAAATGAGACAAACAGTCTCATTTGTGGGAAATCAAGTATGTTGCACAATTTTGGTGTGTCCTGCCAAGAAGAAAGAGCTTTGCACGCTTTATTTATATTTTGGGATCAAGGACTGCTAATTCATCTAGCATGATTGTATACAGGCGGTGATAAGTGGCTACTTCATAGAGATAGACCTTGACTTACAACCACAGTCAGAATTTCTGTTATTAAGCAAGGCAGTTGCTAAGTAATTCACACCCATTTTATGACCTTCATAACTCTAGCCCGGGGGTCTTCAAATTGGCCCTTTTATGACTTGTGGACTTCAGCCCCCAGAATTCCTCAGCCAGCGTGCCTGGCTGAGGAATTCTGGGAGTTGAAGTCCACAAGTCATAAAAGGGCCAAGTTTGAAGACCCCTGCTCTAACCCATTCATACTTACAGGCTGGAGATGCTCATCTCTGCTCTCAATCTATTTCTTCACCAATATATCCCTTATTTTTCTTTATTCTCAGACCCAAGAAGCCAACCGCACTGGAAATGCAGAATCTGCTCGACGAAATTCAAAGCTGTCACGCAACCTGTCCCATGCAGCACTTGGAGTGGGGCTGGGGAGCCTAACTCTATATATTATCTTTGTTGTATTCATGTACACTCAAAGAGCCTCTTTGCTGATAGACAATCCCTATACTATATCCCCATAACTCTTAAGGGCAAATATACTTCAATATAGGAAAAGTTCTAAGGTAGTTCAAACAACTAACAAAATTGCTTAATCATTACATGAATGCCATTCTATGTGGCTGAATGGTAAGCTGCTAAGACACACAGAAAGCACTAATTTAATGCTAAATACTAAAATGCCAAAATAATTTGGGAGTAATTCTAGATAGCTATAATAAAATGTGAGGTGCTACATTAAAGCAGTTAAGATTCTGCCTGAAATATCTCAGCTGTATTATAAGGTGATTGCATAATCCTTGCATAAACAGCAAGAGTAATTGCACAAATGTGACATTTCTAGAATAGGTTGCAAATTACTAAAAGGCAGATGTCAAGGCTGCTGTCTCCCAGTCAAAATCAAGTGACCAATTGGCAAGAGAAAGAAGACTAGGTCTTTGTGCCATAAAGAATGAAAAGGGAAGGTGGAAAATATGAAGGAACTCACTTCCCTAAGTGGATGGGATCTAAATGTTCTTGCAGAAGAACAATGTTCAATCAACTTTCTAAAGTCTATATGTAACCAAAATGAAAACACAGAGATATGGTTGTCTTTTCAATGTTACTTTCCTTCCTCTAATCAAATCTTTTTCTTCTTAACCAGTGGTCTGCAGACCACTGGGGGCCTGTGATGTCATCATAGGGGTCCACAAAGGCTTGAAGAAATCTTAAGTCTTGGCCATGATCATGGCCTGTGGCCACAAATGGTATTTAAATGGAGTCTGTGGTGAAGAAAAGGTTGAGAATCACCATTGTTTCCATTGTCCAAATTCTTACCTAAGCCCTACTCCCCATGATCCATGGTTCCAAATGGGTCTCGCAGCAACATGCTATAAGTGATAAGCTGGAATATCATATGGTCATATGTGTGGTATTCTGCCAAGATGCTTTAAACCAGAGGTGGAGAATGATGGCCCCCTTATAACTTGTGGACTTCAACTCCCAGAATTCCTGAGCCAGCATGTATATGTGTGGAACGTGGCTCAAGATCCCAGAACAAACAAACTCAAAGTTTTATTCAAAAAGAAGCATTTGCAAAGGCTTGGTGAACTGAAACACACATAGGAGTTCAGCCACACCTTAAAGAGCTGTTTGACACATTTTTATATCCTACCCCAACACAGATTCCCTCCCCCCCATCGCACTCAACCCCCCTTCCCTAATCATCCGATAAAACTAACTCAGACTACCTAAAAACCACTGCCCCCCTCCCCATGTTCCAGGAAGCCCCTTTGTGCAGATCCTATCTATCACCATCTAATTTTCTGTTAATGAAGCTCGGCTCCTATTCTTATTTCTGTATTTCCTCTGCTTGAGGTTTAGGTTAGCTAGCAACTTCTGATTTTCTTATTTGTATGAAATTTACTTGTCAGAGTGGCTTCTTCTATCAACCTTTAGATTCAATAGATTCATTAGAAATTTCTGATTAATAATCTACTCCTTTCATGTATGTATTCTGGCAAGATGCTTTAAAGCAGGGGTAGTCAACCTTGGCTCTTTTATGACTCGTGGACTTCAACTCCCAGAATTCCTGAGCCAGGAGTGGGGAATGATGGCCCCTTTATGACTTGTGGACTTCAACTCCCAGAATTCTGGAAGTTGAAGTCCACAAATCATAAAAGGGCCATCGTTCCCCAACCCTGCTTTATACAAAGGACCCTTGCTTCAGTATTTTATCTCCCAGCACTATAATTTTATAACAGTCTGTCCGAACTTTGTGAATCTGTGTGTTCCTTGAAAGGAGACCAAAGACAAAGAATGCTTCTGCGAAATTTCCAAAACCTGAATGAAATGTAGGTCCTGAATTCTGCCTCATGGATACTCAATTAAACCACCCCTCTCTTTGCTGCTACCATTTCAACATAACCTCAGAGCCCTAAGGTGTTGCTTTTCTAAACAAATATTGCAGTGTTAAAAACTGTTTACGTTATTCTATGATGGATCTTTGAGCAAAAGTTTGTTCTACCATTTTCCAGAAATTACATCATTTTCATTTTAACCTGTGTGTTATTGAGATGTGTGTGTGTGTGTGTGTGTGCTTGTGTAAATATGTACAATACTGGCTAAAGTTAGATTGCATTCTCTTTACCCCAAACTTTGACAAAGGGTCATATTACTTGTGATAGTCAGTTCAATGCAAGGAGGCCCTGAAAAGAAGACATTCTGATGAATACGTGCAAGGCAAATCTAGCGGGAACATTAAATTCAAGATCTGTGGCCTTCCTTTCCCAGAATATCCCAATCGTTATAGCTATTGCTGAGAACCTAAATTGATGCTTGCACATCTGGAAGTTAACATAGGTGGGAAATACCAGCCAATGAATATATCTACCTAGAACAGAGATAGTCATGTGCTGTTCTAGTAAATCTATCTTAGCCTCCTGGCCCTTGCCTCAACAGCTTCCCCTTGTCAGCTCTCTAAGTTAAATGTCTACGGAGATTCTCAGTCATCCAGGTCATGGATGTTCCAAAGGTGCTTTTTCAAAAGGCAGCTGGACTTTGCTTTTCCTTGAAGATGTTTCGCTTCTCATGCAAGAAGCTTCTTCAGAACTTCATCATCAGTGCACTAGTAATGAAAAATCTACAAGAAACAACCAAGCTTAGAGAGCACCAAGGACCCCTGCCGTGCTTAGCTTTTTCAAGCTCAGCCAAGATTGCCAGATGCTGCTTCCCTTGTAGAAAACCTCCAGTTAGCCATAGACTAGACCTGTGTTTCTCAACTCAGCAACTTTAAGATGGGTGGACTCAAAAATATAAGTGTTGAAGCAACCACAACTTTCACAAATTTCATTCCCACAAACTGGGAGACTGTAAATTCTAGTCCTGCCTCAAACATAAATCCAGCTGGGTGACTATGGGCCAACCACTTTCTCTCAGCCTTAGGAAAGAGGAAATAGCCAATCACTTCTGAAAAAGCTTGTCAAGGAAGCTGCAGGGACTTATCCAGGTCATGTGATTGCCTCTCGCGACCTTCTGACAAGCAAAGTCAATGGGGAAGCCAGATTCACTTAACCGCTGAGTTACTAACTTACAGTGATTCGCTTAACAATTGTGGCAAGAAAGGTTGCAATATGGAGCATTCACAACTTTCCTCCAGAAATTGTGAATGCTCCAACGCTGGAAGTTTTTAAGAAGAGATTGGACACTCATTTTTCTGAAATTATATTATATATTAGTAGTAAAGTTGGAAGGGACCTTGGAGGTCATTTAGTCCAACCCCCTGCTCGGGCAGGAAACCCTACACCATTTCGGACAAGTGGCTGTCCAGTCTCTTCTTAAAAACTTCCAGTGTTGGAGCATTTACTGCTTCTGGAGGCAGGCTGTTCCACTGATTAATTGTTCTCACTGTCAGGAAGTTTCTCCTTAGTTCTAGGTTGCTTCTCTCCTTGATTAGTTGAAATGGTATAAGGTTTCCTGCTTGAGCAGGGGATTGGACTAGATGACCTCCAAGGTCCCTTTCAACTCTGTCTATTCCTATTCCTATTCTATTCTGCAAAACTCACTTAACAAATGTCCCACTTAGCAACAGAAATTTTGAGCTCAATTGTGGTCATACGTCGAGGACTACCTATACACATACATACATACATACATACATACATACGATAAAAAACAAATAAGTTCAAACACCAGGATAATATTAAACCACGAACTGTTTAATAGCAATGCTGAGCTTTCGTTGGCCACATTGCCGACATCGTCAGAGCATCAAAGTGAGGTTGCTGGGAGTTCTCTTATATCACCGGTCGACTCTGCATTCAGCTCCTCGACCTGATCACTGGTCCACTCATCATCTCTGGTTGTTTTGTTTTTAAAGGGCACGCGTTTGCTATTGCACAAATAGTTTCCAAGGTTGCTGTTCTCTTTCTACCTTACTTCCTCCCACCCCCTTTCCTCGTGTGCGTCCAACTGTCAATTTGTGCCGGGTGCTTTTGCTCACCCTCCCCTTCCTCTCTATCCCAAGCCATATCTGTTCCTCCCCAGTGGGGCTGTCAGATTGTATCGAGCACTTTTGCTGCCCCTCCCCCCCATCTCCATCCCGATGTCTGTTGGTTCTTCCAAAGTGAGGCTGTCAGCAGGATGTAAGTTTAGCGCAACCCTCTTGCTTCTCTGTTCTACCGCTCCTGAGCATGTGCGAGTTCAGGAGCCGGTCTGTCAGGCGGGTCTGGGCGTTCAGTGTGGCTGACGAAAGCTCAGCATTGGTATTAAGAGCCGAGGTGGCGCAGCAGTTAGAGTGCAGTACTGCAGGCCACTTTAGCTGACTGTGTTCAGCAGGTCAGCGGTTCAAATCTCACCGGCTCAAGGTTGACTCAGCCTTCCATCCTTCGGGGTAGGTAAAATGAGGACCCAGATTGTTGGGGGCAATGTAAATATATATATATACATTGCTTACTGTTGTACACCGCTTAGAGAGTGCTTGCACTTAAAGCGGTATATAAGTCTCATAAATAAATAAATAAATAAATAAATAAATAGAGCGTGCTTGCACTTAAAGTGGTATATAAGTCTCATAAATAAATAAATAAATAAATAAATATTAAACAGTTTGTGGTTTAATATTATCCTGGTGTTCGAACTTATTTGTTTTTTATCTTATGGCTTTACCCAGGATTCACATTTTTAGTATAATTAGAAACATACATACATACATATATACATTTGAGAGAGAGAGAGAGAGAGAGACAGACAGACAGACAGACAGACAGACAGGAAAGTAGGGAAGGGATTTACTGAGCATGTTTATACATGTAACAAAGGGGAGTAAAAGTTAACTTGCAGTTCTCTGCTGCTGAGAAATGTTTTCTGTCCCTCAAAAGATTTACCACATCCTGGGTAAATTGCTATTATTTTATGCTTGACTTCACCCACATACTTCCTCAGCTGTAGGGCCCTTCCAGCCGCCCTATCCCATGTCAGAGCCACAAATGAATCATTAAGCAAAGAGGTAGAACAAAACAACTAGTGTTACAAGGCACTTAGTTCCCATTGGAGGAGCAAGGCCAGCAACTGGAAAGAGGAGTCCTTGGAAAGAAAAGATTGATTCTAGAGAGTTAAGACAAAAGCAGAAACAGCCTTTGCAGAACTGCCACGGGAGAAGAGAAAAGAGACCTACTTGCACAATGAGTAATGCAGATTATGAAAAGATCACAGAGAGCATGCAGAACCCCCAGGATCTACCACCCCCTTATTCCGATGCGGTGCAGCCTCTGGTTCAACCATCTGCCCCCATAGCTGTCCAACCTCCTATGCCAAACCAATGTTATTATGCCACGGCTGTCCAAGACCCGAAGGAAGAACCAATTCTTCAACCTGTTCAACCCAGCTCTGCGCCTGATTACCTGGCCTATTCCATCTTCACTATGCTCTGCTGTTGTCTACCCTGGGGTGTTGCTGCCTTAGTTTACTCTATACAGGTAAGCTGGATGGGGTACAGGGAGTAATGGGGTTGGAGAAAGGATCTGCTCAGATTCCATCAAAACAAAAGGATCCTGGTTTGCTTTCTTTCTGAAAACCCTTCCTGGTTCTTGGGGGGGGGGAGCCAAGATGGCGACACACTAGCAGCTTCCTGGTTCTTTTGATGAAATCTGGATGGAATGGTCTGACCTTTGCATTTTGCGTGAATTCAAGCATTCATGTAAATGGGGAGGGAGAAAATTGAAGAGTTGCAGGGAAAGAAACCAAAGGAGGAAGCATGATACAGATAGTCAGTTTGATCTTGTAGTTAAGGCACTCAGACTAGAAACTGGGAGACCATGAGTTCTAGCCCACCCTAGCAAAGAAAACTGGCTGGGTGACTTTGGGCCAGGGTTGCTGTGGGGAAAATTGAAGGAGGAAGGAGCATAAAGTATTTGTAGCTTTCAGTTATTAATAAATAACTGAAAGTATTTGTAGATTCAGTTATTAATAAAAAGTAATCAATATGGGATGAAAATAAATAAATTTGAATAGGGTCTGAGAAAGATGTGGATTTCAAGGTTGACAAAGACCAGTTTTACACAAACACACACACACACACACACACACATACTGGTGACCTCTTAACTTTTCTGAAGTCCATCACTTTCTGGATATAGCAGAAAAAAGCTCGGGGAAAATTTGAAGCAAGCCAGTTTATCATTTTCATGAGTTGCCCTATGCCACACCCAAGATCAGCATTTTTATGGACTTTGCTCTTGGAGGTTTTACCTCCACTACAAATACTTCCCAGATATTCGAATATCTTGTAAGATTATGCAATCTCACCCAAGTTTTATAGGAATAGTTCAGTCCTGCAAATGCTTTCATAGAAGCTGCGTTGGCTTTTGGGTCCTTCTGAATATTTTTGCCTGAGATCCTGCAGAGACTGGCTGGGAAAAGGGATTTACTCCCAGAGTTAGCCTTGGATTTTAGAATATATTTATTTATCAAATCTAAATAGCCATTCAGCTCACCAAAAGGGGACACCGGGTGGCACGCAGCAATGAGATAAAATGATATAAAAAACTATAGATATAAGATATAAAAATCCATATTAATAAGTATCAGAAAAACAGATGAAGGAGGAGAGGGGGTGAGTGAAGAAAAAGAGGGAAAGAAGTAAGTTGGTTTGAGGTGGGATGCGGTTTGGGGGGAAATGAGCGGGCAAGACCGAATGTGGTGTGTATCAATTTGTTTTATTTTTTATCTGAAGTATTTGTAAGATTGTTATGTATTGTAGAGTTGAAAATAAATTTTTTTACAAAAAAAAAAAAAAGTATCAGAAAAACCAAAGATACAAACCCTAACAGGGGTATGCAACCTTGGCTCTTTTATGACTTGTGGATTTCAACTCCCAGAATTCCTGAGCCAGCCATGGCTGGCTCAGGAATTCTAGGAGTTGAAGTCCACGAGTCATAAAAGAGCCAAGGTTGCCTACCCCTGGCCTAATGGATGAGAGAGATAAAAATGGCCACCCAAACAATCAGTAAGTCTCTGGTATCCTGGAAGGCCCAGGCCTAATAACATAACCGCCAGAGTTGC